AGATAAATTTATAACAAGAGAAAAGGTTTACAACCTTGGATAGTCTAAATGTCACTAATGTGGTGAGTTTTTCCTTTTCAACCAATTAATATATATTGTGTTAGACCTATGAGAGACCAGGACTCCATAGTTGTAATTAGTGCTGGGAGTTACAGTTATAGATATAGTATGTGTTAGACCTATGAGAGACAAGGACTCCATAGTTGTAATTAGTGCTGGGAGTTACAGTTATAGTATGTGTTGGACCTATGAGAGACCAGGACTCCATAGTTGTAATTAGTGCTGGGAGTTACAGTTACAACCAATATTCCTACTAAATAATTGTAATCCACTTTAGTAAAACCTCCATTTCTACAGAGGTATATTTACATAGTAAAACCTTCTACTGAGCTACCTATCAATTAGATGTTTGCTGATTGGGTAAAAGAACAGGAACATTACTACATCATGATCTAGATTGAATTTTGACCAGTCAGCTGTTTCTTAAGATGACATGCTTCATACCTGGATTAGAATGATTCCATTGTGTGAAAGGTGTTGGAAATTAGTTGAGTCACTTAAAATATTTTATTAGAATGTTATCTCCCAACAGTTTTCCTGTGTAAAAATAAATGGAAGTTTCTAATAGAACCTTCTTCACTTTGGTTTAACAATGTGTCAATAAAGTGGCAAACATGAAAATAAGTGACCTGATTGATGTATAAGCACTGTGCATCCAAGGGAAAAGTGGACAATTTTGACACTATCTGACTCTTCAGGTTCTCACAGATCATAAACTCTCATAGGGAGGCTTGATAGCTCATTGAAAGTGAAAATGTTTCAATATCAAATGACACCTTAATTACTGAAAAGTATCAGTGTAAATGCAAATACCATTAGGAAATCAAAGAACTACGTGTGACTGCAATTTCTCAAATAGTGTAAAAATTTTGTCTAGTTATTTGTTAATGGCAAAAAATGCAGACGATCTCATTCTCAGTGTGCGACTCTGCAACTGCTTGGCAGGGAATGAGTGCTTAGTAACTTTTTATTCAGTAGAGTCAGTTTGTACCCCCGATCAGGACAAAACGATGATTGGTTTTCCTGAGCCACATCTTGCCTCAGAAAAAAGACATCACCTTTAAAGCAACCTTTTTTTTGAAAGTTTTATGTGGTAATGCTCTGTGCTGGCAGCAGGTAGTGTATGGCAGAAAGGCTGTTGATTATTATTAAATTCCTTGTGTATAGAAGATCAGAAGATGAACTTGGCAACCAACAGAGGGGGCAGTATTAGGGGAAGAGGCACTAAAACATAACAAAAGTGATTCACACTTATAGAATGTAGTAGCTGAGAACATGGAAGGCATAATTACCATCAAATCATGCAAAAAATATGCTGGAGTTGTGTGGTGCTTCACACAGTGAATTTGTGTATGTGATGAAATTTTGGTTCCATAGAGAATGCTGATATAGGAAATTCCTGTTTGTTGGCATATATACCATATATACACGCTTATAAGATGAGTCCAACTGCTAACTACACAGACCTGGAACTGTCAGCACATTATGCACCTGCTGATCTGGATCTATGCATTTTGTTAGGAGTAATCAGTAGAACAAACAACATGGACCCTGATATGCAGGTATATTATTGTTGTTTGCAGTTGGACTCATAAGTGAGTATTTATGGTAGGTTTCTTTTTACCATCTTGTCATGAAAGAGACAGTTTACTTTGCATATGTATGGTCCAAGCAACAGAAGAGTAATTGCAGATGTCATTGATGATAACTTTTGATGGGTACTAGTATTATATTGTCTTTGGATCTGATGCATACAAAGGTTGCCAGAATGTTGCTCATTCAGATTTTCAGGTTTTTAGCTCATTAATTTATGACTATCTGACACAGAACTTTTCCTGCAGTCTTCAGAAAATAAGTGGACCTTTATATGACAAAGAACTTTGAGGTCAGTTTGTGTCAGAGTTATTGTTCTTTACTTGGATTAGGATCATCAGCAAGTGTACTAGCCATTTAATTTAACACTAAAGCACATTTTTATATACTTTCCATTTGTTTTTACACTAAAGCACATTTTTACATACTTTCCATTTAATTTTCTGTTGAAGCACATTTTTACATACCTTCCATTTGATTTTCCACTGTTGAAGCACATTTTTACATACTTTCCATTTGTTTTTACACTAAAGCACATTTTTACATACTTTCCATTTAATTTTCTGTTGAAGCACATTTTTACATACCTTCCATTTGATTTTCCACTGTTGAAGCACATTTTTACATACTTTCCCTTTGATTTTCCACTAAAGCACATTTTTACATACATTCCATTTGATTTTCTGTTGAAGCACATTTTTAAATACTTTCCATTCATATTCGGTTCAAGCAAATATTTCATACTTTCCATTTGATTTTCTGATGAAGCACATTTTTACATGTCTGGTTGGATTAAGAGTGATATAATCTCACTGTGAGATATTTACAAAATTGTTATTAAAAAATTATTTTCACAAAAGTAGTTTGATGTCCATATAAAGTGTCAAAAGGCTTGTAGAAAATATGGTAATCATTCTACATCGCATATTCCTAAACAGCTGTGACATTTTAAGTGAAACAAGTGTATGATGACTTAAAACATGAGCACTAGGTCACACATTGGAAAGAATGTATGAAGACAAACACAAGCACTAGGTCACACATTGGAAAGAGTGTATGAAGACTTAAAAACATGAGCACTAGGTCACACATTGAAAAGAGTGTATGAAGACTTAAAAACATGAGCACTAGGTCACACATTGAAAAGAGTGTATGAAGACTTAAAAACATGAGCACTAGGTCACACATTAAATGAGTGTATGCAGGCTTAAAAACATGAGCACTAGGTCACACATTGGAAAGAGTGTATGAAGACTTAAAAACATGAGCACTAGGTCACACATTGGAAAGAGTGTATGGAGACTTAAAAACATGAGCACTAGGTCACACATTGGAAAGAGTGTATGAAGACTTAAAAACATGAGCACTAGGTCACACATTGGAAAGAGTGTATGAAGACTTAAAAACATGAGCACTAGGTCACACATTGGAAAGAGTGTATGAAGACTTAAAAATATGAGCACTAGGTCACACATTGGAAAGAGTGTATGAAGACTTAAAAACATGAGCACTAGTTCATACATTAAATGAGTGTATGCAGGCTTAAAAACATAAGCACTAAGTCACACATTGGAAAGAGTGTATGAAGACAACACAAGCACTAGGTCACACATTGGAAACAGTGAATGAAGACTTAAAAACATGAGCACTAGGTCACACATTGGAAAGAGTGTATGAAGACTTAAAAACATGAGCACTAGGTCACACATTAAAAAGTGTGTCTGAAGACAACACAAGCACTAGGTCACACATTCAATGAGTGCATACAGAATTAAAACAGTGTTGCAAGGTCAAACAGATTGATAAGAGTGAATGCCAATTGAAAAACATGAGTACAAGGTGAGACAGATTAAAAATAGAATATGCCGACTTATAAACATGAGCACAAAAGGTCACACACATTAAAACAGAGTGTATGCATGCAGACTTACAAACATGAACACAAGGTCACAGATTGCACAAATTAAAAGAGTGTATGCCAACTTAAAAACATCAGAACCAGGTCAAACACATTAAAGAGTGTGCCTAAAAATGTGAGAATAAGGTCACACAGATCACAAAGATTAAAAGAGTGTATACAGATTTAAACACATGAGCTCAACATCACACACAAAAAAAGAAAATATGGTAAGGTATATTCATTGATCATACCATGTGACTCACCCAAGGAACAAAAACAAGTATTGCTTTTCCAGAATTGGTTTATTAATGCTGGATGGTGCCTTGTTTCTTGGTTTTTGTGTCCATGTATAAAAAGTATTTGGGTCTGATAGGTGATAAGGGTAATATCCCAGCCCAAGAGAATGTGATGGTTTTCTTACAAGGGAAGATGGTTCCATAGCTTATCAGACTTGCTATCATCAAGAGATAGGGAGATTGTTTTCATCACAGGTTATTACCTACCTGTCTTTCTCGACACTCTATCTTGTAATTGAAGGTGAAAAGATGAAAGAAAGAGAATATCCTCATCCAGATTGACTTGGAACAGACAATAACTAGATTTTCTTGTGTATTTTCCTATTCAAGGAGCCATGGTGGTTGAAGGGTTACATTATGTGCATGCTTACAAGTCAAACTGTAAACTGAACAGACCCAGATATGTTCTGACATAATGTGATGGGTCTGATCTGGGTCTGTTTAGTTTTGTTAGTAGTAATCACTAGAACAAACAATACATACCCTGATATGCAGACACATTATGCTTTTGCAGATCTGGATCTCTGTTATTGGCAGTTTGACTCAAACTTTAAGCAAGTATATATGGGATAGTATGTCAGAAGGGTGTAGGTTTGAATCCTAGGATTGGACAGCTTGTGTACAGTAGATAACTATGCTGGGAGTTGGGTGGGTAAGAGAGGATGCACTTTATGTAATAAATCTTTTGCTGATGAATCTTAACATCAGAAAGCCATATTGCTAAGAATAATGTGCAATTTATCCTGAAGCACCTTTGGGTTATGAAGAGACTTTAACAAGAAACAAGTACTTAGTCCATGATGACTATGAGTGTGGTACCATGATCCATCATTTTGAAACAAAATTTACAGCAAAACCTGCATAAAAAGTATGGTCTCTCAAGGCATATGGTGTCTCATAACATGTCACAATGCTATATAATCAATAAATTTGTGCATTGAGAATATGGTCTCTCAAGACAGATGGTCTCACATAGCACTGGTCATTCAGGACAGGTTTTTCTGTACTTGTAATTTTCAGGACTAAATAGCTAAACTGGTTATTCTGCATAATTTTGAATGACATATATTTCATAACTTGAAGATTAACTGTTTAAATACTCAGCAATATTCATAGGACATGCTCAAGCATTTCCTGCTTATGACATTTGAGTTGTGGTTGCTCTGTGGTCAAGGCATTGGACTAGTGATCCAAAGGTTGTTGGTTCAATTCCCAATTTGGATCGAACTGGATCAATTACCATGGTGTGTCCTTGGGTTAGGCAATTTATTTTGCTTGCCTTGGCAGTTTACTTTACTTACCTTGCCCTGCCATAAATTTCCACTAACCAGTCCAAACTTTATCACCCTGAAAATTTGAAAGACCAAAACAAATCTAACAAAAAATATTATACTATATATTACTATTATTATATATTATTATACTATTATACTATAATATATTATATTATTGGAAAATGATGACCCATTCTGACAGATCATTCATTGGGGAGAAGAAAAGAAATACATGTATCATATATTCTTTGATGATGAAACAATGTTGATTAGTATTTTCCATCATTAATAATAATAATAATAATAATAATAATAATAATAATAATAATAATAATAATAATAATAATAATAATTGTTATTTAACAAGAGTAACACATGGTAAATGTTTATGTTGTTTGGCTTGAAAACAATGCGAAGTTATAGTATATTTAGTTTGTCATTCTTCTGCATAAAGTTTTAATAAATTAGTGTGAATTCTGCAATAGTGCAGCCTAAATTAGACCTTGATAACACTTGCCCCACAATTGTTTTAGAAAGACCCGCCAATCCCTACTCCCAATTTTTGTTACATGCATAAGATAGACCCTGATAAGCCCTAACCCTAAATTTTTGTTACATGCCTAGAATATACTCTGATAAGCACCCCCCTTGCCATGTTTTTATATATACCTGCTATAAGGTGGAGGATGTTATGTTGTGATATCCATTAAACTATTTGTTACTGATTTCTGCAGTTATAAAACCTCCAAGTCTTCTTACATTATAAGGCTAACGTCTCTGGCCAACCATACAACATTTTCTTACATCACTGTATTGAAACAGCTTTAAAATGTTTAAAGAATTAGTGATGGGTCGAAAGAACAATCTGTAAAAGAAACTTTTCATGATCAGTGTCAGGAGTCATCATTTAAGTTTAATGAGTCTAATTGTTTGATAACAGAAGATAAAATTTAATCTGGAACAGTTATTTTTGACTAGAAATATTTTGTATTCAAAATATCCTAATGACATTCTACTTTCTTGATGAGCAGAGTGGATTTTGCAGTTAGTTGGAAAAAATAGAACTGGTGGTAAATAATAACACTTCAAGCTTTGATGTATGGGTCTGTTTCTGCTGTTCACTAATAGTGCTTTTCTGGTTTGAGTTAACTGCCAGAAAAATAAGTGTCAGCATAGTCATGAAAAAGATGGTGGTTTATAAACTGCCCCCATTAGGAAACCTTTTTTTTGAAAATAACAGCGGCCATAATGGAATATCACAAAATGAAGATATTTGTTTATTGTTAGAATCCAGGTAACTGAACATTTTCAAATTAACCTTTATGGAGTAACTCTGGCAACAACAAAAATGCAAAGAGGAAGAAATTATTCTGATTGTCCATAGGCATGGTCTGTGTGTGTTGATACACATTTGTATATTGTATAGTTTTCTAGATGTGTGTAGGTTCTGAGTCAGTTTTCAGAGAAGAATATGCAAGAAGTAAGTTTTAGTCCCGGTTATTATGAATCATTAAGGTGAGTGGTTCCTGTGAGATTCACTTTGTTTTGCCTGCAATTCAATGTTTATTTTTTGCCAAAAACTTGTTTATTTTATCTTTCTGCAACATGGCTGCATCTGTTTTGTTGTCCAGTGTACCTTCTTCCATCTACTACCAATTATTGTTTCTGCATAATACCTCAAGCTACTTTCAGGAACTTAACTTAGTGGGTGCATTTGGGTAAGAAAGAACCCTATTAATTGATTTACCAATAGTTCAAAGATCAAGGTCACTGAAACAAAACAAAAATGGTTACTACACCATACCAGGAGTTTTCCACCATCTACAGTTACCTAACTTCCTGAATGGCTTGCACTTGAGGAAAGAAAGAACAGTATTGATTTCAGGGCAAAAAGATCAAAGGTCAAGGTTGTTGACTGAAAGAAGAAAAATAGTTTCTGCACCATAACTTGAGCTTTTTTATCTGCAGTTACCAAACTGTGTGGACGGCTTGTTAAAGAAGAATATTCATTACATGACATACATAGTCCAATGTTTGAGAATTGGGTAAGAAAGAAGTCTATTAATTTAAGGGTCAAATAGTCAAAGGTCATTGTCACTGACTAAAAGATAAATCATTTCTGCACATGATTTTCTGTTGTTTACCATATACCTTTACCAGAGGGGAGGGGGTTGGCTTCCAAATTAAGGCATGGAAGAGACCTATTAATTTTGAAATCATATAGTCAAAGGTCATAGTCATCATGTCTCAAAGAAAAATATGTGTTAAGAATAACTTTTTTCAAGAATTAGTTATGTAGTTAAAAATTGTGGATGGCTTGCACTTGGGGTGACAAAGAAACCTATAGATCATGGTCATGGTAAGTTAAGAACAAATGATGTGTATGCCTTGACCAACAGTCAAAGTCACAGAGACCTGTTGACCAATAATATCTATTGTCCACCATGCCATTCTATTAATGTCTTGAGGTCCATTAAACATAAGATAGGTATATAATGTGCCATTGAAGGCACTCTTGTTTGATCTTTTCACCACTTATTCATTATGCTGTTCCCTCTATAGTTAACTTCTACACTAATTGGAATACATTCTTCTTTGTGTTTTTTTTAAACTACTTGCCAAAAACTTAAAAATGTTTACTAACAACACATGAGCTTGGTTATTTTGGAGCAGGTAAATGAATGTCACTATAAGTTATTAGTTATATATTGCAGTATAGAGTAAATACAGAAATTCCTGTTTAAAGCTAGCATTTTTGCAAGTTGTGTGTAATGTTCAGGAAGGTTCTTCATGGCCAACTGATTTTTTTATAAGCTGTGGAACCAGTCTGTGTGAGATGCTCTGGAATCAGTCTGTGTGAGATACTATGTTGAATACACTATATCAGTTGTTAGAGTTGTTGATTGTCTGATGATGATTACAGGAAAAAATTAATAAGTTTTATGCAAAGCATATGTACTGTTATGGGTACATTATACACAGTTGTAGACCTGAACTTTAATCTACATGTACTTAAATTTTATCACTGTAATACCTCAAAACTACTGGATGAAAATGGGGAAATATTACCAGTCCAGAGTTTTCTAGTACAAACTGACAAGCACAATTATTTTTAGACAAAAGATGTAAAGCATATAATTTACACCATTCAAAAATTACCTCATGGGCAAGTCATGCATAGGTTATATGCTTGCTTTGCATTGAAAATATAACACTTTGGCAAAACATTAATGGTACAGCCAAAGAGAACTGAATTACCATTAGTTCTGTGTCTTGTAATAAATTTGGTCATTGCTAAACTTTTCATTATTATGGGTGTGTGTGTGAAATACCATATATACTTGCTTATAAGTTGAATCTTACTGCAAAGAACAAAGATCTGATCTGCCATTGTATAATGTGATGGCAGATCTAGTCTGTGCAATTTGCAGTTGAACTCTTATAAGCAAGTATATATGGTAAAAAAAAGTTTAATATTGTGCTGGTTTTAACCACAATGCCTTGCAGAAATTAGCCACAATGATTTACAGAAATAACCAATTAAAAAATTAAATTACACTTTATGCTGGAATTGATTTTCATTTACCTGCATAAAATAACTTAATTTCTGTGTCATCTAGGTTTGTGGTTATCTTTTTAAATTTGGTAAAGTTTTTATTTTAGGAAATTGGAAGGGTATGTCTATTAAGTCATGTTAAAAGAGTATAGTTATCATCAGAAAACATACTTATTTTTAATCCGACCAAACAGATATTAAATATAAATGACTCCATTGTGATATTATGCACAAACCTTTTGAATGAATCAACATTTAGTGAAATGGATATAATGATGCCTGAGTTCACCTCCTCAGTTTGGTCCTTCGGACCATATATGCATACATTATATAATCTTGTTGATCCAACATGCTTGGGAAATAGCTCATGCTGTAAATAAACAACTCTTCCAGACTGTAGCATTAATTAATTAATGGATGCCTGTGACTGGAGCAGCCATGCTTTGGTGAAAGTAGCAATGTAATAATAGTTGGATCAACTGAAATTACTCATCTTTGCTAGCCAAGGTTCTGATTAGTTAACCTATCGACACTTTGGCAGATCGATCTGAATTTCGTTGGATGCAATTTCGTTGGATGCAAGCCACTTCATCCAATGAAAATCAGATTGTTCAGATTTGAAAATTATTCCTACATGATTGAAACAAGGGGAGCACACATCTGGAATGGGTTCATAAATAAATAATTTTCCACTGCTGGTCTATGTTTGGTCAAATGCATTCTTTCACTCAAATACACCTGAAATTTCTTCTGTCTGCTACATAGTCGACTTCAGTATTAAACTTATAAAGTATCTTTTTGAAGTAAGTTGCCTCCATTATTTTTAGCTGATGTACAATGTACTGCTGTTACTGTTGGTTAGTTGGTATTACATACTAAGGGAGGCAACTCAAATCGCTGAAATATTGGATCGATCTTACAAGGTGTAGATAAGTTAACATATTAGAACCTTGGCTAGCAAAGATGCTGCAAACTGCATATACTTGGATCTGACACTGCATACAGATCTGTAAGCAGTTTATAAGGACTAATCAGACTGACAAGCAACATAGACCCTGATCTGCTGGCACATGATGCAGAAGGTCAGGCTCTATGTTGTTTGCATCTGGATCTGACTTGTACACAAGCATATACAGTAACCATGCTTGTATTGAATATCTCAGGCATTTATATATTTCAGTATTTTTATTTCAGCCAGGTCGATAAGCAATCATAGTTTGAAAATCAAGTACCATAAATGAACTTAGTTCATTTGGATAACATTGCTCCCTGAAATGATTGATTTGGGGGGAATTGTAATTGAGAAAAATTAACAAAAACTATGCTTGTCCAGAGCTTTGCAGTAGATTTATAATGTTTTCTCAGTTTTTAAAATTTTAGCTGTAGTTGTGGAAC